CCTTCCCCCGCTAGATCGTCCTTCTCTTGGCAGCATCTGCACAGCAGCAAACACGGGCTTGTTGGAGAGCTGCAGAGAAGGGGAGGGGGGGTCCCCCGCACGCCCCACGGAGAACGTGGCTTTTTATGCTAAAGCTTCCTGCCGTGTAGGGCTCTCCCATCAAAAATGCCCCTGGGGGCATCGCGGGATCTGCGAGGCTCAGCTTCCAACGCTCCACCCATTTCCTGCGCTCGCTCTTTCCAGAGCACAGCACATCATCGCTGGGCTGTAATCACCAACTGTCCGTGGGAGTGAAAATCTGAAAGGAAAAGGTTTTTTCCTTTGCATTTTGCGTGTGACCTGGCGTGGTGATTTTGCCTAGTTGCTATGGAGGCGTCCTAGAGGAGAGGGAGCAGCAGGAGCTCGGACATTCCTTGACCATGAAGTTGCTCTGCAATTACAATACAAAATAAAATGCATTTCGAATATTATGTAGAATCCACTTATCTCTGCCTTTCCCCAGCTTTTAAATGGAGGAATATTAATAGTGCTGGAGCAGTTGTGGAAAAATTGTGGGAAAATTCAGTCTTGTGATAATAACCACTGGTTTCTATGTACTGTTGTGCACGGATGATGCTGCAGCCTGGGCCAGCATTTTGACCTGGACTGTGGCAGGGGGGCATATGTTTTTACATATGTTTTGTATTGCATGCGGAGTGTGCTTTACTTGAACTGTTGCTCTTCTTTCCTTTTCACCATTTTAATTAAACATTAGTTACATTTAAGAAAAGCAGTTGCTGCAGAGGACAAAAGCCATTCTCTGTCTCACTGGCACATTTTTTAAAATACATTTGAGTGGATACATTTTCTGGTGGTCTGCAATTGCTCAAAGCAGAATTGAATAATGTAGTATATAGCCTTACTGTTTTCTTGCCCCGCCCCCCCCCAAAAAAAAAAAAAGCATGAGCGCAAAACCTCTCTGTTGTTTCTCTCTCCAGTGAATACAGAGGTTTGGTCAAACACACAGGAGGCTGTCACTGCGGAGCCGTCCGCTTTGAGGTCTGGGCTTCAGCAGATCTGCATGTCTTTAACTGCAAGTGAGTTTGGTTTTTTTGTTCCCTATTCTTACAGATGAATATAAGCTTGTATGCTTTTTGAGTCAATACCTTAGAGCTAAAAGAAGATGACACAACTGCAGAACATGCTCTGAGCTGTTTCCATAGGGTATACCCCTAATGATGTCCCGATCCAATATGGGATCAGTGCTGGTGATCTCAGGTGCTGCTTCTTTGGGCAGGACTTCAGGTCTCACATCCATCCTCATGCAGAAAGTGTCAGGAGAGCTCTAATGAGTACAGGTGCTCAGCCATCTGCTTTCTGTTTCCTCGAAGTGCAGTGTGCTCAAAGCACATCCTTTTTTAACTTGGCCTTCTCAAGTGAACATTACATCTCTGACCGCATGTGCTTCAAACTACAACAGTGTCTGATTTCAACAGCAATCCTCCTTTGCCTGCAACTAGTTTGCTTCTAGCTCATGGGTAAACTTCTGAATCTTGCTTTCTTGTTTGCAAGGTAATAAAGGTTGGCAAAATTGGCAAAGTCTGGTCTGAAAGATTAAATGGATTTCTCAGGGCTAGAGTTTGCCCTTGAAATGTCTCTTAAGACTTGTGTACGTGAAGAAAAAAATGGCGTATAATGTTTGGTGTAGGAGAATACCTTATCGCTGTACCTGCGTCAGTCTGTTCCGTGGGTGTGCTTAGCCAAACACTACTGATACCATGAGTCCACTTTTGCCACTTACCTCTGTGATGCTAACCAGGAGCTATTTTAGCTGTCAGTGGAATTTCTGTTGTCAAGAGGTCCATGCTAGATCTGACTGCTGTACTGCAACTTGTCCGCTGCTTCTAGAAAGGTCTGCTTTTTCTTTTACAGTTGCAGCATTTGCACAAAGAAACAGAACAGACACTTCATTGTCCCAGCGTCGCGTTTCAAGCTGCTGAAGGTAGAGTAAGAATGCAGTAAGAGCATGGCCATGAACATGAGCAGTATAATCCAGTGTTATCCTCAAAGGTGCAAGTGGCAGCCAGTTTTCTGTCCTAAGATTGTCTATGGCTGGTTGGGGGAAACGGCTGAATTCTATGCAGTCTGGTGTGGGTGTGTTAGTGCATCTTATTTAGCAAGCTGACGTTAGAGCTCTTGCAGTTCTCAGGCTTGACTGGGATGGACACGTGTATGTACAAAGCACAGGGGTTCAGAAAAGGAGCACGAATACAGAACTCTGTTTCTCAAGTAAAGGCATGAAGGTGGTATTTAACTTTTACATTTCTTAGCTACAGGCCTATCAAAAGTAATTAATACCTCTGTTTATGTGGAAAACTTACATTCCTTTTTATTTGCTTAGGGTGCTGATAATTTGACAACGTACACCTTCAACACACATCGTGCCCAGCACACATTCTGCAAGACCTGTGGTGTACAGAGCTTTTATACTCCTCGTTCTAATCCAGATGGTTATGGTAGGTAGAAAGAGTAAACCGCGATAACCAAAGCTAACCACCAAGCAAACCTTGGATAAAGACTCCATTGGCTACTAACATGACAGCAGTGAGTGGCATGTGTCTTGCGAGTTTGTTTCTGAAGGGCTAAGCACCTGGAACTGCAGTCTGAACCTGTCGCTCCTCCATAAGAAAGTGTCTTTACCTATGACTTGTGGGCTTCTGCCCATGCCAGGTTTCTCATCTAGGCTCCTCAGTCTTACAGCAATAGCTGGACTGAGCATTTACCGTTCCCTGAGATGCCCCATCCACAGAGCAGTGCAGGCATCCCCCACACTTCAGCTATCAAAAACAGGTTTCTGTGTACTCTTGTCTTTCTTCAGGAATAGCTCCCCATTGTCTGGATGACGGCACTGTGCAGACCATTGTCACAGAGGATATCAATGGCAAGGAATGGGAGAAGGCCGTGAAGGAACATAAGACCATCAGAGACATGTCAAAACCCTAACACACCCTTCCAGCAGCTGAACTTGGAGCACTGCCATGGAACTGTAGTCTGGGCTTTCCTGGGTAAGGGTCGGCAAAATCAATCTCTACATTATTGTTACCTGTTCTCTGTTTCTTAAATAAATCTTTCTATGCTGCCTGACCCATTCATTTGTGACTTTCAGTTTTCAAACTACCTCTGTTCCATAAACCACCCAAAGGGCTGCTATTTTGATACTTTGCCCTTAGCTGTGCTAAAGTTTAAATCACAATAAACAGAGCAAAGTACAAAAATAACTAACTAATCTTTGCTTGTATGGATATTTCCTGTGTTTCAAGTCTGGCTTATAAAAAGATAATCTCTTGCTTAGACATAATACTAACTTACACTGGTTTTTCTCCATTGACTTCACTGAATTGACTATGGATGTAGAGTTAAAGGGGATTTGAAAGAGCTTATCAGACTCAAGTTCAGTAAAGCATAGGCTCAAGTTCAGTAAAGTATTTAACAGGTGCTTAGCTGTATGCAAGAGAGGGGCCACTGAAGTTCATATGATTAAGCACTGTTTTGCTTATGCTTGGAGTTACTCATAGTCTTAAGGATGAGTAGGCATATGCTTAGGCGCTGACTCATGGCAGGGAACAGAGTTCAACACTGTCATACTCTTAGAACAATGGGTACGTACTTCAGTACAACCTGGAACTCGTTTGTTGTCTTCAGGAGGAGGATGTGCTCACAGCAACAGATGAGGCAATCTGGGCTCTGATCTTGACTACGCAATGACTAGCTGTGTAGATCCAGGACAGATGCCTCCTGTGTATGTAGGCCCACATTAGTAAGTGCAAAGGTCTACAGAAATGTTGAGTATTGATGACTTTGCTCCACCATGACCCCACAGAAACCCAAATCGCTAGTAAAATCTCTATATAGACTACAAAATCAAACCACTGAAAGCTGCTTCACTTACCTTTAAACTTAAAAGGGAGAGGATCTTTAATTCTTGCGCTTGTCATCTACATAAGTGGAGCTGCTTTTGAAACATCTCTTGCAATTTTTATCTCTGCGTGTGTTCTATAAAAGACCTAGTTACAGTCTGGGTCTCTTGCACCTCATTCTTATGTGCCGTTGAGACTCTTGTGAGTTGATCTCGAGCCCCATGTTCTGAAGCAAGAAGAAATGCTCATGTTTCATGAGGGACGCTCTGCGAAGGTGGAGCCTGCAACACAATGTGTATGAAAGAAGCAGTAGTAGCAGCAAAGATCAGTGCACTTAGATAAATTTGTATGATTTCTGATGTTTTATTAACAAGCTTTGGCTTTTTAAAGTTCTGAGTGAATAAGACAGGTCTTGTGGTCCTGGTTTTATCTGTGGCAACAGCATGATCTTTGAAAAGTCACTCCTGATATTTGGATTTTACAAAAGCACTAAGAGACAGTTGCCAAGCAGTCCTCACAGCTATATCCTCTTGGGGAAAAATAGTTTGTGCCATATCTTCTCCAATGCAGAATACTCCTGCATTTTACTCCTGATTAGGTTAATGCAAATTTCTTACTGTATTTAATCTTCTACAGTGAGAAAATAGAGTAGTTGTTAAACCCTGTTCATCTCAATCTATCAGGCAACAAGATATTCAGAAGCAAGTTCATACAGCCTGTTTTTTGTAGTCTGAAAGAATGTTACACAAAGAGAATCCTGTCCTCTTCAGCACGTAACAGGTGAGTTTTCTTTAGTCCTTGGCCTGACGCTGTCTTTTTTTCACTCATTCTTTCACTCCTGAAGTTGTGAGCAGCATCTCTTTTACAGAAGGCGGAGCGAATTGATCACCATATAACGTGAGAAGAGCATATAGATGCGGCGAAACCAGAGGAGCTGGCTGCGATGACACTGCATGGCTCTCTAGAAGGAAAAATAGTTGAGAAAGCATTACAAGAACCTTCCAGACCTAACGTGAGCGCAGTTTCCTAGGCCTCCTGTGAGGTTCACTGCCAATTTATAGGACAGCCTGTTTTCAGTGAGGAGGGAAGAAATGGTGAGAGGTAGGAGGCTGCCTACTCTACGGGGCCAAAGGCCTGGTGTGTGGCTGGTGGTGTGCTGACTAGTGTTCAGAGGGGTCCTGCTAGAAAGGACATCATCAGCTGCAGATTGGTGCTGTGACAGTTTCTTTGTCACATATAACTCCTCCTCCCTGCGTGATCTCACGCCTGGCTGTTCACATGCTGGGGAAGCAGAAACCTGATAGGTGTGCATCTGAGAACGCTTTGCATGCTGCTTCTGATCATACCTTGCCAGCTGAAACTTAACTTTATAGTTATATATATTTAAGTATTTACATTTTTAAAAATATATTCTTATATAGATTATATATATATT